CTCTCTCTCTCTCTCTCTCTCTCTCTCTCTCTCTCTCTCTCTCTCTCTCTCTCTCTCTCTCTCTCTCTCTCTCTCCCCCCCTAGCGATATCTTCAACGAAGCAGGTACGTAGTAACCCAATCTTGTATCGCTCAACCTTACTCTCTCTCTCTCTCTCTCTCTCTCTCTCTCTCTCTCTCTCGATCTTCTTCTTCGTCGTGGTCTTCTTCGCAGGTGCGAGGCGGCTTCTCCAACCTCGGGTCCGCTATGGCGGACTATGCCCCTCGGTGGCCACCTCTGCTATGGCGTGTTGGCCCCTGCACACGACGACGCGCATGGAATAGCGGGCACCAGCTCCGATACCAATGCAATCGGACTCGTTCTCATTCACACTTTTCATGCATGTAAACAGTAGCACAGCAAACTGGCGACATGCGCCCACTCAAAACTCAGAGATATGGCTTCCAGATACGAGTTCACTCTCAACTGGCTATGGCGACTCAGCGCCCAAACAACTCATTGTTCACATACACTGGATCACCCTGGATATCCCACACGCATCAATCTGAACACTCGAACACACACATACACACTTCCTACTAACTACAGCTATGGCAGCTATGGCTGCCTCTACCCTATCGCTATACTAAGCTCCTTCTCTCTTGCCCACTGCGTCCTCCGGGCTCATCTGCAGACCTCCTTGCACAAGTCGTTGTGGCAGCGCTTCCGCATGGCTCACGCAGGAATGAATGAAAGGCTGGGCGCTGCCTCTTGATTTACACTTCGGAAACTCATTGGTCTGCCCTTTGCCATCGGCCCATGGTGCTCACAGTCCCCCGTGGTACTTGCTGGAGCGGACTGGGACTAACTGGACCTTACCGCTGACTGACTGTGGACTCACTGCTATCCTACCGTCGTCGTACTGCAATTGCACTGCAGCTTAGTCCACCACTTGCCTCGCCACTTGACCACTTGCCCACTTGCCTACCTTCTAGAAGGACTACAACTAAGCTTCTGGAACTCACTAAGACTTCTACTCTATAGATCTACAGATCAAACCCCTGCTACCTACGGACCTATGACAGACCTATCAACTGTTACACAGGTCACAGGTTCAACTCTCGGGGTCTACAAGGATACTGTTACGGACTTCGCCAGGGCTCGATCCCTG